TCCTTGCCATCTCGATCAACTGCCTTTAATCACGTAGTAGTAGTAGGAAAAATCTTCGTTCCCCACAGACAACGCCAATGTTCTGCCTGAGGCAGAGGTGTCCGACCGTTGGTCAGATGATTGATCTTGGATTTATTGCTTTCTCTCTAGATACCTATGAATTAGGTATCTTGGGGACAGCGAATCACTACACACTATATGATGGCCTTAGCCAGAGGGGGTGTGTGTGTGCATTTGTCGTGATTGCATAAAATAGGGATAGAGAGATCAATTATACCTGTGGTCTTTAGCTCCTATTTATAAAGTTTACCTTTGGGCTTGGGCTGCTTGGGCTTCTCGCAGGCATGGACCTTTTCCAGGTCCATAACAGATTCCAATGTCATAATCTGACTTTTGCAGGTAAACCACATAATCATTCGAAATAGTTGGCCTATGTTCCCTTTGGGATCTTCTTAATTCTATTTCATGTGGTTCTTGTGCATTAGCATTCTGCAAGTTAGCATCTGTTGGGAGTACTTCTTCATTCAAATATTGTTCAGTGTTGTTATCTTATTCTACAACAACTGGAACAACATTAGGGAATTTAGTAGATGGAGTAACATTATAGGCAATGAAACATTTACCTCAGTCTCCTTTATTTCCATAATTTCTCTTTTAGAACTCCCACTAACTTCGCAGTTCTCAATGAATCTTGCATTACCAGTTTCCATAATTCTCGGACTATGGTTCATACAATAAAATACATACCCTTTGGACTTCTCAGGATAACCAATAAAGTATCCACTAATCGTTCGAGACTCTAACTTTCATTCATGTGGATTATAAATCCATGCTTTAGCTGGGCAACCCCAAACATACAGGTGCCTTAAGCTAGGTTTCCTTCCTGTCCATAATTCAAAAGGAGTCTTTTGAACTGCCTTACTAGGAATCCTATTCAGCAAGTAAGTCGCACTTATAAGCGCATAAGTCCACAAATTTTTTTTTTTGGGTAATGAGGAGTTACTTATCATGCTCCTGAACATATCCATTAATGTCCGGTTACGCCTTTCCGCCACACCATTTTGTTGTGGTGTGCTTAGCATAGTATATTGTGCACATATGCATGCTCTTTGAGGAATTTTGCAAATGAACCTTGACATTATCTTGACTCATTATATTTACCATAATATTCACCACCTCTATCTGACCTTACGATCTTCACCTTTTTATCTAACTGCCTCTCAACCTCCTTAATGAATGTCTCTACGACATTTACAGATTGAAATTTTTCATGAAGCAAATAGATGTAACCATAACGTGAAAAATCATCAATAAAGGTAATGAAATACTTTTCTCAATTAAAAGCTGGAGTGTCCACAGGTCCACACATATCAGTGTGTATAATCTCTAGAAGCTGGGTGTTTCTTGTGACATCTTTCTTATTATGTTTGGTTTTCTTTCCCTTAATACAATCCACACATAATTCAAGATCAGTAAAATCTAAATTTTCAAAATATCATTCTTCACCAACATTATTATTCTTTCTTTTGATACATGACCCAATCTTTTATGTCACACGAAAGCAAAATTCTCATTCTCTATGTTACGCTTAAATCCAACATTATAAACAACATTAAGTAGTGATTCAAATAAAATCGTACAAGCACAAAGTAGCGCTCCTTTTGGTAGATACTATAATGTACTCATCATAAGCAAATACCAGAACATTAATAGACAAAATATTTTTTTTTCAACTAAATATATCCATTATCTTTGGATAATCAAAACATATTTAATCAAAATATTAATTTGCCACATAATGTCACTAATTACATAATATGATTCACCTTTGGGTAAATCCCTCATTTATAATAATTAGCAACGTCAATTTATCCAATTTATATCAATAATTGGTATTTCATAAGTACATGGATAAATGACAATTTTATGCATGCGATAACATTCTAGGTTGGCCACTTTGGTGACTAACAAACTATAACCATAATGCACACAAATAAATATAGATAAATGATAATTTTATGCATGCGATAACATTCTAGTTTGGTCACTTTGGTGACTAACAAACTATAACCATAATGCACATAAATAAATAACTTTTATGTTATCTACACACTATTAGTTTGGCCACTTTGGTGACTAACAAACTATAACATAATGTGTGAAAATAACTAACAGATCAATTTCATTTCATAATCACAATATGTTGCATCAATAAAAATTAACAATAAGTATATATAAGACCTTACAATCCATACTTCAAATATACATATTGTAATTTTTATTTTATTTTTTTTATAAACATAAATGATGCAAATCTTCATAATAATGCCCATATAAAAAAATAAAAATAAATAAATAAATAAATTCATTCAGCAGCAGCGAAAAATCATGCCATTATACATACCGCATTATTCATAACATAAACAATAAATTCATATAGCAGCAGCGGAAATCATGTCCATAAATACATATCGCATTATTCATAATATAAACAATGCATTTATTTATTTATTTATTTTAACAATTATATGATTAAAATTTAACATTCAATTTTAATCCAATCACTAACACATTTCAAATTCATTACGGTATATGTATAATAATATATATAAATAAATAAATAACAAATTCATTCAGCAGCAGAAATCATGCCCATAAATACATACCGCATTATTTATAACATAAACAATGCATTTATTTATTTATTTATTTTAACAATTTTAATCCAATCATAACACAGTTCAAAACCTTACCTGTTTTGACCAATTTATATATATGTATACAAATCGTAACAGTGAACTCAAATAGCTAACTTAAATGGATTCAAAGTATAATCAACATTGCCGCACGATTATCGAGAAAGACAAATGTATATACAATTCATTGTCAATTTGTATATACTGTTTTCGGATAGATAAATGGATACAAAGTTATGCATATTGTAATTCATTGTCAATATGCTTTCTGTGCGTAATTTGCAAAAACCGTAAATATGATTATCCGAAAACAATAATTTGCAACAACCGACGTGCGTACACTGTCCGTATGAATTCATGGATTTATATAATAAATAAAAATAAAAATCATAAGGGGGAAAATATAAATTTTAGAAACTCTAACTTTTCAAAGATCAAGAATCCGATCATAATCATACATGCAAAAACATGAATTCCAAACCTTGTTCTGATACCACATGTTAGGTTGTGTAATATATCATGTTCATAAATCGTAAAATAAGAACATGATAAAAGATCTTGGAAATACATGATTTTCACATACACATAAGAAATAAAAACATACCCGGAAACAATCATGAAGGATTAACAGCAGTCATCGTCTTTGAGCATCCCAATCATGAAGGATTAACAGCAATCATCATCTTAGGGTAGTTTCTCTCTCTAAGCTTTTTTCTTTTCTTAATATGTATTCTGATAGAGATAATGACATTAGGGTTGAAGGAGAGAGAACCATCCCAAATATATATATATAGGGTCAGGATCATCTTACACCAGTGTAAGATTTTTAATCTTACACCCCATCTAAACCGTCCAATGTACTTTAATCCAACGGCCACGACTAAAAAATAAAAGCAGGCACGTGACTCCATTTCCCTCGTTCTTGTTTCCTGAACTTCTTCATTTCTGGTGATTTTTTTCTTTTTCTCGTTGACGCTACGACTTCTCAACGAAACATACCCACTTTTTGTTTTTTTATTTCGTTTTCACAGTTGAAGTAGGCAACCCTTAAGGAGAAAACGAGAAAGTTTGCACAATAACCCCTTTAGAAATTTCGGAGAAGTCTGCGAGAACTGTAACTGAATGGTTGCGTGCAATATCAAAGAGGTAAGCTTTCTTTCTGTTAATGATAGGGGTGGGTTTGGGATGTGCAAACTTTGATGCAACTTCAATGGAGAGTAATTCATAGTTTCCTACTTTTATATATACCCTTTTTCTATTTTAATTTTATATTAGTTTTGGTATTGTTGAAGTCGAGTCTTGTGAGTTTCATCTCTGTCGTTACTTGTTATTCCTTTCTCTCTTACTTTCTCCAAGCAACTTTCTCTTCTCCTATTCCTATTTCTTTCCTTTCCCATTATTCTTCTCTTCCCTGCATTCAAAAAAGCTATCTTTTTTCTTCTAATAATCTTATGTACTTCCCCATCTTCACTCGCAAGATCAAATTAAGGCTTTGAGTTTTGTAACCGTAAGCTCCCTGCCTCCCTCTCATTATAATTTGTTTGGGTGGCTCTGCTGGGTTTAATGGGAACTTGAAATTCCCTCAGGACTTACCCAAAACCCAAACATGTTTGTTTGTTCATTCAACTTCATGTACCTCTGTATTCTTGTCTTCTGAAAATCTGTATATGTCTCTATTTATTGTTTTTTTTTTGCGAGTCTCGGGTCAACGAAATGTTTTTGGCAGCTTAGATGACTAAATTGCATGTGAGATGTTTGTTTTGTTTATGGCTTTTGCAAGAGAAAAGGGGAAATCATATTCGCTCTTTTCCTATCTCCTTAGAATATGTATGTTTCACAAGTTATTATTATTCCTGCACTACGTTTGGTAGTTCCCTCTGCTTATAGTCCACAATTTGTTATTTGGTGGTTAGTTACAGATTTTCACCGAGATACAAAGATTATTTTGGGCACTGTGTTTCCCATGCTCAATTAAGAATTGCATCCTTTGTGGTATGGTAAGGTTTATAAAAATAACCTTGTATTGGACCTAGACTTGGCCCTGCTGAGAATTGTCTTTGCTTTACTTTTATTGTTATGCTGCAGCAGGAGCAAAATGATTAAAGTTTTTTCTTGAAACCACTTTTTGCTCGTTCCTCTACATTTTATGATTGCTTTGCTTTGTTGGCTGGGTTATAAGAATAAGTTTCTCCTTTGTAGTTTCCTCATTGTGCTTTCTTTGATTTGTGGTGCTTATTTCATCTATTTTTGTTTTCAGGTTAGCAAATGATGGATATAGACCCAATTGATTTTTCTCTCACGAACATGGAGACAAATGTCATTTTGGACAACAACTTGGTGATAGATTCTAACTCTCTTGATATGCCACAATCTTTTAGTGCTGAAGAAGTCATTGTTGAGCCTTATGTTGGAATGGAATTTGATTCATTGAAAAAAGTTGAACATTTTTATACATTATTTGCCAAAGCAAAAGGATTTGGGATTCGTACCCGCTCTAGTAAAAAAAAATATTGCATTTTTGTATGTGTGAGAGAAGGTGAAAATAAGGTGAAAAGTGATAATATAGTAGAAGTTAAGAAAAAAACTTCAACCATACGCTCAGGATGTCGAGCATCACTGTGTGTATCAAAGGATAAGAATAGAGAGGTATGGGTTATAAAATCTTTTGACAACAACCATAATCATGTCATGGCCAGTCCTAAGAGTGTGTCTTATTTGAGGTGTCATAAAAAAATGAACGGTGCTACAAAAAATCTTGTTGAAAAGTTCAATGAAGAAGGCTTACCGACTGGAAAGGTTGCTGCAATGTTTAGTGGTAGTGATTTAGCTTTTTCTAATAGGGATTGTTGGAACCATTTGAGAAATCTTAGGAGAAAGAACTTGGATGTTGGAGATGCACAAGCTGTTTTCAATTACTGTAAACAAAAGCAAGCTCAAAACTCTAACTTTTTCTATGCAATACAATGTGATGATGATGACAGAATGATAAACTTTTTTTGGGTGGATTCTAGATCAAGGTTTGCTTATCAACAATTTGGAGATGTTATTACTTTTGATACAACATATAGAACCAACAAATATAGCATGCCATTTGCCCCATTCACGGGATTGAACCATCATCTTCAATCAATTTTATTCGGTTGTGCATTATTACAAGATGAATCTGAAAAAACTTTTGTATGGTTATTTGAAACTTGGCTTGAGGCAATGAATGGAAAGAAGCCTATTTCTATGATAACTGATCAAGATTTAGCTATTGGAGCAGCTGTTGCCAAGGTATTTCCAGAGACACGTCATCGTCTATGCTTGTGGCACATCAGAAAGAAGTTTCCTGAAAAGCTTGCACATATATATCACAAAAATTCTACATTCAAGCGTGAACTGAAGAGGTGCATTCGAGAATCATCAACTATCAAGGATTTTGAAGATGATTGGAAGCGCATAATGTTTGAGTATAACTTGCAGGAAAATGGTTGGCTTCAAAGGTTATTTGATATTAGAGAGTCATGGATACCAGTTTATAATAGGAACACTTTTTTTGCCGGTATGAATACTACACAACGGAGTGAGAGCATTAATTCTTTTTTTGACTCCTTTGTTAATTCAACCACAACACTACAAGACTTTGTGGTAAAATTTGAGAAGGCCATTAACAATCGATATGAGGCTGAAAAAAGAGAAGATTTTGACTCACGACATAAGTCACGCACTTTGACTATTGGCTCAAAAATTGAAGAACATGCTGCCTCAATTTATACAAGAAATGTGTTTGTTAAGTTTTATAATGAGCTTGCAAGTGTTAGCCATTTTACAAAGGAGAAGATTGAGAAAAACGATTCACATTGTAAGTATCGGGTATCTAATTGTTTTGATACTCGAGATTGTTCTATAGTTGATATAAATTTGGAATCAAAGAATGCTACATGTGGCTGTCATCTTTTTGAATTTATGGGAATACTATGTAGGCACATTTTGGTGATTTTTCAAGCAAAAAACATTATTCAAATTCCTAGTCAGTACATATTGCAGCGTTGGACAAAAGAGGCCAACAAATGTATAGAGTCGTGTGACATTGAAAATTGGAATCATGAATCAAATGTTTTGAGAAGTATGCATGTGCAACGTCAATTTGACAAGTTTTCTGATTTGGCTAAAAGATCTGAAGATGCATACAAGTTTATTATATCAGAACTTGATCGCATTTACAATATGGCCAATACAATGGGAATGGAAATTCTAGATGTCAATGAAGATCCTATAGAGTTAAATCAACAGAATTTGACATGTGACACAACAAATGATGTTTCAGATTTCAATATTAAAGACCCATATGTTTCACATACAAAAGGAAGAAGAAGAAAGGATTCTGACAAAGTCCCTCTGACAGGGAGGTTTAAGAGTGGTCTTGAATTATCGATGAACAAGACATTGCTGCTATACTAGACTAATACGAATATTTTATGGCTCACAGACTATCCTAGCTAGTTTCTTGGCTGAGAAAGACTGTAACAAGGTGATTGCTGCTGCAAGAAGGACACTACGTTTTAGGAATGGGGCTCTCCCATCTAGTTTCAAGGTTGTTAGTACAAGGAGCTGATTCATTTTTGATTTTATGTTTTCTAATTTATGTATAAAGTGTGAGCAACCATTTCATGCAATTTGTATGATATCCATTTCATGCAATTTATATGACAACCAATTTATATTTTCTAATTTATGTATAAAGTGTAAACAACCATTTCATGCAATTTTTATTTGTAATAGGCGGAGGAGGATATCTTATTTTTCCCTCGAGGAGCTCATTTTAGTGATATTATACACAGTTTTGTCATTATACACAATTTGTATGATATTTTCATGCAATTTTTATTTGCAACAATATTGTCACAGTTTTGTAAGTGCAAAGTGAGTCATCACGCTCTGCCTGTACATATTCTTAGAATATTCATTTTAGATTGATCTTGATCTCCTTAATTTTTTTTTATCTTACTAGTTTTTTGCCTTGTCAATTACCTCAGATAAAGGTGATTCAGCATAGCAAGTCACAAGTTCCCTTTTAGAGATATTAAAAATGGTTTTATTATTCATCATTTGTCACTGTACAAAGGACGTGGATATTACAAAATAACATCCTATCATAACAACAACAACTTAAAGTACCAACTAAGATAAACATTGACCAGATTTGATAATAATAACATCCTCCAATAGTTATCTATATTTTGTGTGTCGAATGTTGTATACAAAGGACTCGTTGCAATTTCTTCAATGAATTCCATTGCACTTAGATATGTTAAGGACATCATAAGTCTGCCTATGCAGATGGATGAGTTTCTTGTAACTGTAACTCTTCTGAGCAGTACAAAAGTCACAAATTCCATAGCAGTACTGCCATGAGCTGCAAGTTCTTGCTGAGCAATTGCTTTGAACATTTCCATAAATGTAGCAGATCGAGATGCTGTACAAAAGGAAGAAACAGTCAATCAACCTCGTAAATGGATTAATTATATTTTAAACAATGTCTACATTATGTAAACTGAACAACCACAATATCTATTTTGTATTTTTCTTAAGTAATTGGTCAATAAACTGATATTTCTCAGTACCAAGATCACGGTGATTGAGACAAATACAACATTTAGAAATAAATTATTACAGGTACAAATAGTTAGTCCAGAAAACTCAGGTTTGCACGATAGCAAAATTACAACTTAATCAGCAATTCAGAGATATATAATGAAACAAACTGTTTATCACTAAAATATGAAACATTATAATAATCTCTACCCTTAATTATAAAAAAAAAAAAAAAACAATTTCCAAATTGTGGTAATGCGTGACGTCAGCTAATAGTTACAGGGGAACAGAGTTGCGCAAAGAACAGTTTCAAATAAAATTACTTCACCCCTATAATACATTCCAATCAAACTCAACATAAAGATACAATTTTTCATCTGTCAGTAAGAGAAATCAATACTCATTACTTGTGCATGCGGTAGTGAGACACCCCAATAATATATTCTATCAAAATCAACCTCAAGATAGAATTTTTCATCACCCCAATAAGTCAATAACCCTATTGAAATAAAAATCACTAACCCTATGACAAAACCCCAAAAATAAAATAAAAAAATTTAATCAACAAAACCATACTTTCATTGTCAGCAATAAAAAAAATGAGGGAAGAAGAGAAACTCACATGAGTATGGTCGAAAGTGAGAGAAACACAACCTAGGATATGTAGTAGGACGTGGCAAACGAGTGAATGAAGGTGAAGCTATGAAACCATAGGAAGCAGGGTGTATGTGGAAAGAGATGAAATTAAGGTGTTTAGTGAAAGGCTTTAATGATCTAGTCATTTAGGTGGAAGAGGCCGATGCAGATTCTGACGAGGTGGAAGAGCTGCGGGGTTGTGATGGTAGATGTGTTTTGGGAGAATGCAACGAGAAAGAATTTAGGATAAAAAAGGATGTCACGTGCCTGCTTTTATTTTTTAGTCGTGGCCGTTGGATTAAAGTACATTGGACGGTTTAGATGGGGTGTAAGATTAAAAATCTTACACTGGTGTAAGATGATCCTGCCTCATATATATATATATATATATATATATATATATATATATATATATATATATATATATATATATTCCATAACTTATAATTTGGTACGTCCATCATATACCAAATCAATGATTGAGATTAAATGTAGCAGTAATTAATTGGGTCATATAACGTTTAATGGGTAATATCAAGAATCTTAATATTATGATTATAATAAAAACTTTTTAATATTATAATTGATTCTTAATATTTCTAACATTACTCTCATAAATAGGTGGACCCACATCTTTATTTTATTTTTTGTCAACTATCTCTACTTCTTTATCTATTTTTTTCTTTCTTTCTTAAAATGATACAACTTTACTTCCTTTGAAATGACACACATTTTTTCCTTTTTTATTTTGATTGTGAAAATAAATTATAGAACTAGAAGATTTGGAACACATGCACGTATCAGACAAAGTTTTGTCTGCTTCGTAACAGTCAATAATTGGAGTCTCAAAATGGACAAAGATCTCTTGCCTTTTGGGCACACCATCACAATATTGCCTACCTCATTGCGCTCATCTTCTTTTTCCATATTGAATTCAAGTATATCCTCCCTCTTCAACTTTTTTGAACGTGCACTTTTCCCTTCTTCTTCCATATTATATAATATATACATATCCATCTATTTTATGAATCTCAAGCTTTTGTATTGGAAATTTGGAATACTGCCCTGTGGAGCTTGTGTGGTACTTGAAAACTTGATCTGCTCTTTTCTTTGGTTTAATTCTCAGCATCCCTTGTGAGTCATGTGGTGGTCCCTTTTTGTTTCTTTCTACAAGGTGGTTTTTTTTTTGTTTTGCCCCCTGTGAGTGCAAATTAAGGACTAAAACTGGGTTGTATCTTCTTCTGTGTTACTAGTTACTTGGTATCTTTAATTTGAAGTTTTTGGTGGGAAAGTGGTGGAGTGTTGCTTCTTTTGTTTGTAAGTGCCATTTTCTCCAGATTGTTCTATTGTTGAATAATTTCAGTCATGCATTTTTGCATGAGGTATTTCTAGAAGTAATATGGATTCTGAGTGCTCGAAAAATTGATCTGTGTCATTTAATCCTTTTTGTTTCTTTGGACATTGATTCTTTTTATCACAAATCTACTCTCCCAAATTAATTGTTTCCTCTCTTGATTTGCCCTTTTGGTTAAGTTGCATCTAGGGCTTCGATATTAATGTTGTTTGAAACCATAGACTCTAAGCACTTATCACAGTTGAGAACATGAAATGTGAATCATTTGATAAATTAATCTGTTGATAAATCATAGTTAGGAACTGATTCTGATGTGCCTTTTAGGGACATTCTTCATAATTGAGCAGTGATTTATCATAAAGTTCAACCAGCATAGAGGATGAATGGGGAAAAAATCAAGCGCCGAGTTGGCAAGTATGATATAGGGAGGACCATTGGTGAGGGAACATTTGCAAAGGTGAAATTTGCAAGAAACTCTGAGACTGGGGAGGCTGTGGCTCTCAAGATTCTTGATAAAGAGAAGGTTCTCAAACATAAGATGGCTGAACAGGTAGTTTAATAATTTTATTTTTTTTCTTCTGTTGAATACATCTTTTGTAATGAAGTTGCTTTATACCCACACATGGTGATGTCAAGTCTGTAAGATGTTTCCTTTAATGTGTTTTTACAGATCAGGCGAGAAATAGCTACAATGAAGTTAATCAAGCATCCAAATGTTGTTCAACTATATGAGGTCTCTCTCTCTCTCTCTCTCACACACACTACACAAACAACATTTTGCCTCTCACTTTTTGTCAAATATAGTCATTTTGTTTAAGGAACAGATAATTTTACACTCAAATCTTGCTGATGAAAAGAGTTATCAACTCTGTTATGAACTCAACTTATTGGCCTATGTTTTGAACTCTTTATTATATCCCTTGTTGCATGTATTCATCTCTTTAGTTTATCGTTGCCTGAAGTTCTGTTATTTTTCAAAGTAATGGGTGGCAATGTTTGAGCCTAAACTTAAAAAACTGACTGTTTAACTATGAATTCTCCTTACCACTCCAGCAATTTCTCAAAGTATCATGGAACAATATTTTTAGCCTTTTTTTTAGTTTATCCTAAGAAAGATTTTTTAGAAGTTAAAAATAGCCACTTTCACTTGAAATTCTAAAAAAGTTTAATCATCATTGCATTCATAGACTATGTTTTCTTAAATAGTTCTTATATTACTTCATTTTATCCAAGGCCAATTTTTATGTTAACTAATCTTACACAGTAAGAGATGAAACTGGCGTGTCTTCAAGTTACTTCAACTCATTAGAGGACATTTTTCCTTTCTTATTGTACTTGTATTTCTGTTATGTATTTACTTTTCCTACATCATATACTCTAAGCTGAAAATGGAGTCTAGGTCTTTTATAGAGATCATGTGTCCTGTTTTGAGTGAATTTGAGATGGACAACAATGAATATTTACCCTTTTATGCGTGGAGTCAGAGCACCATCTACTTAAGAAATGAAAATCTTATTGCAATTTTGATTTTTTTTTTTTTCCTATACCTTAATGGAGAACTTACCGCTGGGGCCTGCATGATGAGTTTGCAGATTAAAGATGAATTTTGTTAAGAAAAGAATATAAGCACTTAATTAATGATATAAGCTGCATGTGATAACTGGACAGGCCTTACTCTGATCATGTCAAATCATTACTCAATTTTGACAGAATGATTCTGATCAGTTGGCATTAAGGAGTTCAACATATTACTTTGGCCAATGTTGTCAATCATCCCATGCCACTGCTGGCCTTAGGACCTTCAAAAACGATTTGCTCACATGACATGAGAGTTAAGATTTAGAATAAATACCTTACTTTTGAAAATGGGTTCCTC